TTGGTATTGAAAATGAGCGAAATCGGACTGTAACCACGCCCACTTCCCATATAACGGTAATTTCTAGAAATACGAAAACTGCGATATTTTAGTAACTACTGAAGATAATTCACTCAAAATTGATATTTACAATAACTTTCAGACAAAAAATAAGAATATTATAAATTTTTGGAAAATGGGCGTAGCCACGCCCACTTATGGTTACATGTGTATATCTTGGTAACCGCTGCACCAATTTCTTCCAAACTTGGCACAGTTCTTGGCCTTGGTACAGAATACTAAATGGCCGAAAATTTAAAAAATCGGACAATAACCACGCCCACAGTCCCCAGGGTAATTTAGAGAAATACGAAATCTTCGATAAATCAGTAAATATTAAAGATAATTTATTCAAAATTGACGCTTGTAACAATTCTTTACCAAGAGATACGTTTATGGTAAAATTTTGGAAAATGGGCGTGGAACCGCCCACTTATGATCACATATATGTATATCGGTAACCGTTCTACCAATTTGTACCAAACTCGGTATGGTTATTGTGCTTGCCACATAAAAGCAAAGCGTTGAAAAGTATTGAAATCGGACTAAATGACGGCCGCTTTCCATATAACGGTAAATTTCAGAAATGCTTGAAACTTCAATATTTCGAAATTTAAGGACGATAATTTAATCAAAATTGATACACCCCGGCTTACCATGTAGCGGTAGCTTTCAGAAAGGTGAAAAACATATATGTATTTAATACTTGCGCCGGGTATTTAATGTTCGGCTCCGCCCGAACTTAGACTTTCTTACTTGTTTTAGATATGTTCTTTTTAATAAATATACATTTTTGGGATTTAAGTAAACTAGGACTGAGTATTTTATGTTAAAGTATAACGATGTTAACCTAAATTTAATTTTAGCAATTTATTTATTTCATTAGATAGGTAAATTCGTTATCCGCGATTGTTCGATAAAGTTTGTATCTGTGTTTATTCGCCACTCTTCTTAGACTTTAAACACTACAACTTTAGCTGCCGGAAAGTGCTGGTTTTGATGAAATTTTCTTTCTTCAGGCCTAATAAGAACTTTATTTTCCATGAGTAATTCATTTGCATTTGATCTCGACCGAGACAAAGTTTTGTATTTTTGCTTTTGAATAGAGAGAGCTTGATTCATTACCTTTCCAATTGTTTTTAATTTTTCTAAATATAGCAAGAAATATTGAACTCATAACAGAATTTCCTTGACCCAACTTGACTTATTTTATCAATATTTGCCACGCCGTCGATTTCCTTCATTTTATAATTCCTTACTATAATGAAATTCGAAATATCAATTTTGGGCATTTTAACTTTTGTAGTTTGTTAAATATTTCAGCTATTTTTCATTTTAAAAATTACATTTACGTTGGCGGGGCAGGACCTCTAAATGACATTTTTGTTTTTGTAATAAGTTTCGCCTATCTTATAACGTATCTTATGAAAAATTTCATTAATCTATCTTCAATAGTTTTCGAATTACAGAATAAAAAGCAGCTAGTTTGATCAAATCTTACACTGTGCACCCTATACAAATCGCAAAAAAAGTTGGAATAGGTTTTGGACCTAAAAAAAATAATATCAGAATAGGCGAGATTCGGATCGAATATTTAGGCCCGCACTTATCTTTACTTTGTGACCAATATTGAAAACCCAGGTCGGTATGTTCGTGGGCAAAAAATACGTATATCAGCGGCTGTACTCATTCTTACCCACTGTAACAATTGAATAGCGAACCCGAACTTCCACTGTTTGGTACAGCAGAGAACTTATAATTTTTTTATAAGTTTTCTGCTGGCAGTAAATATCTGGTATTTGCGCCTGCTTCACTGAGTGCGCTGTCTCTCTCAGTACCACTCATTCTTCAACAGCCATTCTTTGCATTTTAATCTGCTGCCTTTTCGCGCTGCGACCACTTGCTGTTTTTTGCATACACTGCTTTTGCTGCTGATTGGGTCCCCTTCCCAACCCACACTATCAAAAAAAAAAAAAAAACGAAAGCCACACCACTACTGATATTCTTGCTTTACTATGCAACCAGTGTTGCCAGTTTCCCCGCCTAGATCTAGCTTTTTCTTTGTCGCTAGCTTCGAAATTTAGGATTTGGCTTCGTAGCTTTTTTCTAGTATTTTATTATTTTCAAACTAGCTTTTTTATAAGGACAATCCTTTACAATATTTGAAAGTAGTAGCACTAAATTATTGTTCCGGTTAATTTTTACTTGACGAAATGTTAAACGAATATCACTCGGCGGCATCACTCCGTCCGACGAAATTTACTCAGCGAACTCGTTCTGTTTATACTTTAACAGTTCTTACAGGGGCCCTCAGGTGTCCCTATAAAACCAGGAAAAGCATGTTATTTCTTAGAACTCCACACCCCACGGGAATGACGTCAACCACTACATCGTAGGGGAGATAGGTAGTTAATCGCCGCCGCTATGCCATAGCCATTCGGGGGTCCTTAGCCCCTTAGTCGCCTCTGCTATTCCATCACATGCTGCCGGCCATTTTTCGCTGCTTCGTAGCATAGCCTGACTCAGGCCTGAAACTCTCGCCGGATATGTTGAGAAGTTTGCATCTGGTACTGTCAAATCGCATACACTCAAAAAAGACGTCTTCTATTACATATCCTCCGCAGTAGTCGCATATGCAGGGTCGTCGAGAGAAAACTCGGGGCCCGGACTGAAAAATCACGGGCCTCTATACATAAATTGTATTAATTTAAAAGCACGTGGTAATTTTCTATAATGTATAGAGTCAGAAACAGTCAGCACGAATCGGAATATAACTATAGTAAAAGCCTATAACGAAGGAGCAATTAAATTGTAAAAAATAATAACAAGCTATGGCACTGATATTTCAGGCCCTTTAAAAGGCCCGGTCCCGGGCGGATTCAACCCTTTCCCACTCCCTCTCGACTTGTATTTACGGTTTGCTCTTCACTATGCGCGCTCCAGTTGAAACATTCACGATTGTAATCGTATTGTAACGTATGTCCGTAAGTACTTTGGTTGTCGAGATATTTACAATTTTGTTGTTAGCACATAAGAGTTAGCCTGATGCCAGAAGAAACTTTGTAGCTTTGCGCGACATTTACAACTTCGCCAGCAAAGTGCCAGACGCAAAAGGTATGCCACAATGAACGACAAGAAAACAATTTTGTACTGCTTTTTTACTCGTCTAAATTGCTGTGGATTTTAAATATTTTGCTTTAAAAATATCAGCAATATAATGAAGTTTTATGTGTCTACATCAAAACTCTAATTTGGACGAAACAAAATAAATATTAAACCGGCTGATTGCCAAAGCGCGCAAAAAGATGGCAGTTGGCCATCTTTTCGCTTCGCGCTGCAGCTTCAACGATCTATGTGGCATGCTTTGTGGATTTTCATACAATTTATTTTATCTGTCAAAGCGAATCTGTCACGCAAAGCGAAACAAAAGTTTTATATGGCATCAGTTTTAATGAAATGTTGAAAAGGCTGGCCTTTTTTAACTTGTTTTTTTGGGTCACTTAAGCTTTGGTTTCCCCGAAAAGCGGTGCTGTAATATTACGACCGTATCATACCGAACGCCATTCTTAACTCTAATAGCGGTACCGCTTTTATGTAAAGCTAAATGGACGTAACGTAACTTTGCGCTTTTATGTTGTATAGGTATTCATTGCTTTTCGCAAAGTTTATTAGGACTTCATTCTCTTCGGCCATCCATGCACTTTCCACTTTATTATTCAAAATTCATAGAAAAGTATATTTAATGCTTTTATTTTGGTTAAAAGAATTCTAAACAAATTTTCTAATACACCGCTACAAATATGACATTGTCAAAAAACGTTGATAAATAGTTATACACCGTCACTGTTGCCGTCAGAAATATTACGGTGCCGTCAAATTACATTACGGTGTGTATTGCCGTCATCTTAGTTGACATCTTGCAATATTTACATGGCAACGTTTTTGGCAACGTAAATTTGCGACCCCTTTCGAGGAAACCAAAGCTTTAGCTTTTTTAGCTTTTTTATTTGGCCGATATAGCTTTTTTATTTAGGAATCCTGGCAACACTGTATAGATACTTCCAGTGTGCAATTGTGCTGTCGAGTATTTTTAGCTTCTCGCATACGTGAGCGCAAACTTGTGCGTGAGTGTGCGAGACTATGTGCGCCGCATTTATGCTTCCTGATATTCTTGCTCACTGGCTGCTTTTGCTGTTTGCTGCTAGTGCGCTTTACAACCGCTTTTGTCGCAGCGCGGTACAGCGTCGCGGTCAGTGTCAGTGGCAGTGCTTTTGACAATGCTTTTCCTCTGCAATTCGTAGTTCGCTCTCTTTTCGTGTGTGTTTGCTTGCATGTGTGCTATCAAGCGGTGGTTGTTTCGCTGGCGGTGAGCAGCATTGCTGTCGACGTCGACCGCGGTGGTTGTTTGGCTGGTTGATGGGCCAAAACGCAATTTATGAAATTCTGTTCGTCTAATTCGGCCCCAGGTTTCGGAGGTGCTCGCTCGCAGCAAGTGTGTGCGCACTCGTCTCGTAACGTTTTTCTTCTAACAAATTTTTACACAACAAAAAAAAAA